TTACTGTTCATAGTTTTGATCTTCTTTTTCTTAGATAAGTCCCTTTAACATTTCATAAAATAAGGGCTTGGTGCTGATGAACCCCTTTAACTTGACCTTATCTGGGAAGCACTTTATCTGCCCTTCCATTCTAAATGAAAGCTTTGCTGGATGGAGCAATCTGGGATGTAGGTCTTTGCCTTTCATGACCTGGAATACTTCTCTCCAGCCCCTTCTTGCCTGCAAGGTCTCTTTTGAGAAATCAGCTGACAGTCTGATGGGAACTCCTTTGTAGGTAACTATTTCCTTTTCTCTTGCTGCTTATAAGATTCTCTCCTTTTCTTTAATCTTGGGTAATGTAATTAGGATGTGCCTTGGTGTGTTCCTCCCTGGGTCCAACTTCTTTGGGACTCTCTGAGCTTCCTGGACTTCCTGGAAGTCTATTTCCTTTGCCAGATTGGGGAAGTTCTCTATTATTTTTGCAAATAAGTTTTCAATTTTTTGTTCTTCTTTTTCTCCTTCTGGCCCTCCTATGATTCGGATGTTGGAACATTTAAAGTTGTCCCAGGGGTTCCTCAGCCTCTCTTCAGTTTTTTGAATTCTTGTGTCTTCATTCTGTTCTGGTTGAATGTTTCTTTCTTCCTTCTGGTCCACATCGTTGATTTGAGTCCCAGTTTCCTTCCCTTCACTGTCGGTTCACTGTACATTTTCCTTTATTTCACGTAATGAAACCTTCACTGCCTGGGCCTTTTTTATGCTGTGGAAGTACCCAGTGAGTTCCTGGAGCATCCTGATCACCAGTGTTTGGAACTGTGCATCTGATAGGTTGGCTCTCTTTGTGGCTTAGTTGTATTTTTTCTGGAGCTTTGATCTGTTCTTTCCTTTGGGCCATTTTGTCTCGTCGCGCCTGTTAGGTAGTAAGGGGTGGAGCCTTAGGTGCTGACCAGGGCGGGGCAACCCACGTCGCTGCACTGTGACGCTGTACGTGGGGGAGGGTCTAGGAGGGAGCAATGGCGCTTGTTCCGCTGTCCGTCAGCTTTCAGTCACTCCCCTGCTTCCCCCAAGCAAAGTGGGCCCTCCTGGTGCTGATTCCCGGGTGGGTGGGTTTGTGCACATTCTAGGACCCTGTGGGTCTCTCCTTGAACTCTCCTGTGAGGCTGGGAGTCTCTCCCGCTGCCGCCTCAACCCCCACAGGTGTTTTCAGTCAGAGGTTTGAGGCTTTATTTCCCCGCTGGGGCCCTGGGTTGTGGGTCTGTCTCGCTCCCCAGTTGTTCCTCCCGGTTTATCTGCTCGTGAACGTGGGACCACCTGTTCCACCAGCCGCCGCCTCACCGCGAGTCCTGTCCGCCCGGCTGCCCGTCTCCGCCCCTCCTGCCGGTCTGGGTGAGTGTTTCTTCTTTAACTCCTTGGTTGTCGGGCTTCCACACAGTTTGGTTTTCTAAAGTTCTAGTTGTTTTTTGTTTTTAAATTTGTTGTTGTCCTTCTTGTGGTTGTGCAAGGAGGCACAGGGTGTCTACCTACGCCTCCGTCTTGGCCGGAAGTTTGTTCACTTGGGTTTACAAACATCTTTTTGACGCCACCTACCCACACCTGCACCCTCAGGTAAAGCAGCTGCAGCTGCGCAGTGCTCTGCAGAGGGACACTCCGTGCTCTATGTCCCGTCGGGCGCTTAGGTCCCTCAGTTTTCCACGACAAACACTGCAGTCCGCGCGTGTGCTCACACTCTGGCGTCGGGGCCTGCCTCCTGCGGGGGACCAGGGCTCGCCCGGCCAGGCTGCCTTCAGAGAGCCCGCGGCCACGGCCACACCGACACTCGCCGGGGAGGGTCCCCGTCCGCCCTCCGGCAGGCGCTCGTGCCGCCGACATGTCAGTGTTTGGAAATAGAAAGCCCTTTGCGCTTTCTGCTGGGGAGGCCGCACGTTCCAAACCGGCCGTCGCGGGTGCCTCACACACCGGAACACTCAGCCAGTGTCAGGGGACAACCCCAGGACCTTGGCGACCCCACAGCGGTGCCACCGCCGCCACCGCCCGCCTCTGGAGCACCCCCGCCGCCCTGGAAAGTGCCCTCACGCCCACCTGCAGTGCGCCCGCCTGGGGCCGCCAGCTCTGCTGCCTGCCCTGCGTGTGTGCACCCGCGGGAGTCGTGTGCTGTGAGTGGAGCCGCGCCACCGGCTGTCTCTCTCACGGGACGCGCTGCAGGCGGGCCTCCAGCCTGCGTCGGGGGTTCCACCCGAACTCGCTTCCCTTCGGGCTTACCCGCTGCTGCCAGTGGAGCTCTGGCCGCCCCACGGGCCCCTGTCGGCCTCCATGCCGGGGCCCTGGAGGGCGTCACCGTCACTGTCACCAGGGACCCAGCCGTGTCACACTGCAGGCAGAGCCCCGGCAGCACTGGGAGGAAGACTCCCTTCCTGCACTTCCCAGCCCGGGGCCACGCGAGAGCGGCAGCTCCCTGCGTGGGGCAGCTCCCTTCGCCTACACACAGCCCACGGCCGGGACCCCGCACTGCGGGGTCGCTGTCGGAACCAGCCGGGTTTCCCGAGGGCCGTGGGTTTCCGATGTAGTCCCTGAAAGTTGTAAAGCTAAGCCTTCGAAGCTGGTTTCCTTTTACTGTGTGGAAGCGGCACCTTTCCGCGGTGAGCGGACGAGCGGCGTTGCCCGTCTCCGGAGCCGCGCTGGGCGGCGGGGCGGCCGCGTCCGCGGCCCCTGCAGAGGAGGCCCTCCCCCGGCCCGTCGTCCCTGGAAGGAAGTTGACCGCGGGCTCTTGGGCACCTCGACAGTGTTCTCTGGGCTCCTCACCGTCTCCGTGCAGATTAAAAGGAAGAAAGAAAAATGCTGCCAGATCCATCCTCAGGGAAAACTTCTCGTCTAAAACAGGGACGACGTCCTGTTTTGATCCCCAAGTAACCGCTACCGAGTCAGCACACTCCGCGCTGCGGCACTTTGCTGCGTCCAGCCCGACTCTGGCGGCAGGAAAAGCTCGGACCTGGTGGGAGGGCGGAGGGAGGGGCGCAGCGCTGGGCGAGCAGAGCGCCCCAACAGCTCCTTCCGCCCCCTGAGCCCCGCAACCCCTGGAGCCGCAGTCGGGGCTCCCCGCGTGCACGGGCGCCTTCCCAGTCCTGCCGGCTCTCCTTTGGGAGGGCATTCTGGATCACACTACCGACCTCCAGGCCCCCGAGGCCCGGCCGGCCCCTGGGGTCAGCGGTCTCTCTCACCCGGGCGGAGGCTCTTCGTGCTCGGGTGCTCGGGCCACACTCCGCGGGCCGAGTGCACACTCACTCCTGCGCGCCGCCGCCGCCTCCCCGGTTTGTCCCAGACAGGCTTTCAGGAAGTCTGTCGCGTGAAGAACACAGTCACCGGGTCCCTGTGCTCATTCTCTGTGGCCCTTCCTCCCGGGCTCCGGACGCAGGCCCCCCCCCACCCCGCCAATTCTATGTCACTGTACGTGGCCTGTGGCTTTAACAAGTTGCGTCCTCAGAAACTCGGCTCACCCCAGAGTCGTGTTCATCACCGCTCTCTCCTGGACGCAGCGCCGTCACAGCGGCGGCGCAGGGCCGGGCTGGGGGCTCTGGCTCTGTGTCCCCGGCCCAGGGACCGGCCCGAGGGCACTCACATGCGGACTGAGGGACGCATCCTGACCCCGACCGAACCCATTCCTTTTTGGAGACGTGGAGTGAAATCTTTTAAAATGCAGTGAACTTGCCCTGGCTGGCGTAGCTCAGTGGATTGAGCGCGGGCTGCGGAACCAAAGTGTCACAGGTTCGATTCCCAGCCAGGGCACATGCCTCAGTTGCAGGCCCCAGGCCCCCAGCAACCGCACATTGATGTTTCTCCCTCTCTCTCTCTCCCTCCCTTCCCTCTCTAAAAATAAATATAATCTTTTAAAAAATGCAGTGAACTTGATGTTTCCCATTAACGTGGAACCCCGCCTCATCCAAGAATTGATTGAGTAAACAAGAGTTAAGTGCCCACTGTGACCAAACGGGAATGTCCACCCGGGGTCAAGGGCGGGCCGGGGGAGGAGGCATCCACAGGGCGGGGGGTGCCTCGGCCCGGCTTTCCTCGGAGACAGCGAGGAGGAGGAGGAGGGGCAGCTTCTCGCCCAGCAGAAGGAGCCTCATCTGATCACTGCAGAAGGGGGAGAGGGAGACACAGAAAAGTGACCCGGGCATGAGGAACCAGACTGAGGGGGGCAGAGGGCGCATCTTTGCTGCCGTCATGGGCCCCAGATGGTGGCAGTCCCATGCCCTCGGCCAGCAGCGGGCTCCCCGCACACCAAGGGACCCGACCCTCCAGGGAGAGGCCCCTCCGGGGCGAGGCCCAGCAGAGTGCTGAGTGCCGTCCAAGATGGTGGACCCCTCTAGGTCCGGGGCACTGCGGCCGGCCCGGCGCATCCTCGGGATCGGACACGCGGGGCTCCGCGGGGCCCGGCTCGGCGGGGCGGCAGTCATGCGAGTGGCTGGGTGGGAGGCGTCGGACTCCGTGGGAGGGGAGCGCCGGCGTCCCTCTGCTCGGGGCCCGGGGGGCCGGGCCACGGCGTTTCCTGGCAAGACACAGCTCAACAAAGTCCCTGAGTTGTTTTCCCTAAACATCGTTTTGATTTAATCTCTTTTATATTAAAAAAACAACAAGTTACATTTCGGAGAGCTCTGTTTAGGTTTTGAGGTTCCCGTCAGAGCGGTTTTGCAATGCATGTTTACTGGATCCATAGCGAGTCCCCGGGGGCCCTGCGGGCTGCTGGCGCTTCCCACTTGGGATCACAGGCCGGGGTCACGCTCCAGTGTTTGGGTGTCCACTCAGCTTGGACACTTGGCCCGGGCTGAGAAAACCAGCCGGCACCCGGTTCTGGAAAGCAGGAGGTCAGTGCCCCGTGAAGAAGCCAGTTTTGGCTCTTCCCACGGAGCTCACACGCTCGGCGCTTGAACGCTGGCCTTTCACCGAGTCCTTGCAGAGAATTTGACGGCGTCTTTCCCTTTAGTCCCGCCCGGGGCGTCACTGTTTCCCCCATTAACCACTCGCTCTCCGAGGGCCGGAGTCACGGGCGCAGCAATGCCGTGTGCGCAATGCAGAGACAGAACAAAGCGCAGGGTACGGGGGCAGTGAGACGCGTCTCGTAAAGCTCATCTCAGACGGAACGTGCCGAAACGCAAGCAGGTACGTGGGCCCGGGCCCCGTGGGAAGGCCCCACAGTCCCGGGAGGCTAGCAGGGGCGGCAGGAGCGTGGTCAGCAGGGGCAGTTGCTCGTGAGGCCAGCTTCTGCCAGCAGGTCCAGCGGACACACACTCCGCAGACTGTCTCCATCACTGAGCGGCAGGATGTGCTCAGGCCGTGTCGTGCACGCCAGGGTGCGTCGGGAAGGAATGACGTCTCACCCGAGACCGGCTGTAAATACTTCGGTGGGAGAGAGAGGCAGGGGGCAGTCTAATCGGGACGGAATCTCGGGGCTGGGCCTCATGGGGGTGTTCGCCTATCATCATCATCATCATCATTTTTCTGAATTGTAAATGAGCATATTATTTTCTCTGCTTTTGTGTGTGCTTGGAATTGCCACGGGAGACTTTTTACAAGAGCTGAGGAAGTATGTTCGTCAGTGTGCGTCTGCACCGTGGGCTGGGCTGGGCTGGGCTGGACGCCTCATGGAGGGGCCTCGGGTGTGGGGCTCCTCACTGGTTCAACAAGCGACTGCACCCGTCCTCCTCCGAGGGGGAAGGACACAGGTTATGCACCGTCCTGGGGTGTGGGATGTGTATTGACACAGAGCAGTTTTTAACGTCAGCCTAAAATTAAAGAAATCTGCACCCTTCAGTGGAACAAGGGGGCTTTATCATACGGAAGACATGGGCTTCGGCTCCGGGTCAGTTCTAGTTTGCGTGGAAAAGAGGAGAGCGTCAGTTCCAGGAATTCAGATCCCCCAATCCTCGTGTCAGACCCACGGAGTCTTCTCTGGGGGACCTGCCCTCCCCCTGCCGATTCTGGAGGTCGCACCTCGCGCAGAACCGCCCCTTCCCTGTCCTGACGGACCATTTCCCTGGAGGCTGCACCGGGAAGGGGCCCTTGCCCGGCCCCCCCTCCACTCCCGTCTTCCCGGGGCCCCACACCCGTCCCCACGGGCCCTGCCTCCCCACACCCAGACGCAGCCTGCACCTGTGGGGGCAAGCGTGCCTGGCCCATGCAGAACATGGCTGGGGAACTAGAACTCGGACCCAAGTCTCTGGTCCGGGGCCGGAAACAGAAGAAAGGTCAGACAGCAGCAAACTCCACGAGTCCATTTATTCTGCGTAATTCCCACAACCGTGGGGCCTGCAGTGACCCCTTCCCTTCCCTGTCCCAGAGGGAGATGGGGGCCATGGTTAGAAAAAACTCACTCTATCGCACCCACGTCAGGGGGATGGCTCTCTAGAAACGAGGTATTTGGTTCACCGCCCCGGACAGCGGGGGCTGGGGGAGCTGCGGCAGAACGGCGGCGCAGCGAGTGGCGCAGTGGGGGCGCACACCCACGGAGACGGGAACCGAAGCAGGACCTGGCGAAGCGCCGCCGTGAGACACCCTGAGGATCTTGACTGCAGCAAACAGGCCGCCCACCTCAGATCAAGGAGCAAAGCACGGCTCGCTCTTCCGGGGGCGACGCCCCGCGCGGAGCAGACAGTGGGAGCAATGCTGGGGGGGGGGGGGCGCAGCGGCGAGGGACCAGGGACCACGGGAAGGACGGGGGCCAGGGCGGCTCGCATCGCCCCTCTCCTGCTCTGACCACGGCCACTCAGGAGCGGGCGGGTCGAGGTTCCCCTGTTCCGGGCTCCCCGGGGGGCGTGTCGGAGCTGCGGCCACGGCAGCGTTCCCGAGCGAGCGAGGCGGCGTGGGGCTGCTGCCGGAGTGCGGAGCACCGTGGGGGCCTCTCGGGGCCAGTGAGCGCGTCACAGGAAGAACTGGACGATCAGGTTGGCCAGGCCCAGCACGATGATGGCCACGTGCGCCAGGAGCCTGGGCCAGGTCAGCTGGCCGTCCTGGCGGAGGGCGAGGATGTAGGTGAGCGCCGGGTAGACGAAGACGAAGGCCAGGCCGCAGGCCGCGCCCGAGTACCTGCAAGGGAAGGGCGTTCTGAGCATGCACCCATCCCGCGTCCGGCCTCTGCCCGTTCACCAGCGAGACGCGTGCAGGACGGTCCAAACCCTCCTCGGCCCCAGAGAACGGAATCACGTGAGCCCTTTCTTGCTGGCATAAGGAAAGCAACTCGTTCTGCTCGCTAGGTTAACACAGAGCATCATTTCCTGCTCATCTTGGGGCATCTGCTCCGCAGAGACGTTCATGCGTCTCTCAGGTCTCCGCCGTGCCTCTGCGTCTCTGTGACCGGGGCCACTTCCCCAGAAACATCTGGAGGGCGGCTTTCCGTCCCCAACGTTTCCTGAGCGGATCACCCGCTCTGAGCATCTGCTGCAGAGTGAGGGCCGGCGCCCCTCCCGGGCACGCAGCCTGAACACCGAAGCCAGCCCCGAAAACACCTGAACCCAAGCCCCGCACTGTCCCCACCGTCCCCTCCCCGCTTTCCCGGGCATGGCCTGCTGGGGACCCGCGAGCCCCCGAGCCCCCGGGGCCTGGGCTCCGGCTGCCGTCTCGGGCGAGGCTGGCGCTCCGGCGGTGGCAGCTCTGCGCTGCTCCCCGGGGGATCGCAGAGAAGCTCATGGCAACCCTGGAGTTCCTGGAGACCCTGAGGTCAGACCCCACTCCCGACCTGCTCCTGGCCTCCTCCAAACTAGTGTTCGGAGGACAGAATGTTCTTCCAGTTTCCAGAAGAAAGGTATTGAGGGAAGAGCCATCTGGGATCTGAATCCTCCCCAAACTCTCCCTCCGTGACCACAGCCGACGCTGAAGCTCACTGCTGAGTAGAAACACATGAGGGAGAGGAGGAGGCAGCCGTGACGGGGGAGAGACTTCCCAGGTACCCCAAGAGGCTCTGTAGTATTTGTTAAACGCTAAGCCTTTATTTTGGGAAGGAAGACGGGAATACGTAGAAAATAATGAGGAAACGGGGCAAAGAGAGGAGCGGGGGCCCCAAGCGAAGGGGCATGGCGGTCCCAGCTGGAACCGCGCAGAAGCGGCGGCCAGCGAGCCACCATCGCCCACGCCGGGGAACCACGCCCGCGCGTCACCAGCCCCGGACGCCGGCCAGCGCCCGGTCAACGCACAGCCGCAGCCGCAGCAGCAGTGGGAAAAGCACCAGGGGCCTGTGGGGGCGGGGCCCTCCCCCGCGGCCGGCGTACCTGATGATGCCGCCGATGTTGGGGTAGAAGCAGGCCGTGAGCACTCCGGCTCCGACGATCAGCAGGTTAAGAACCAGCACGTGGAAGACGCTGGAAGGTGACGAGAGAGTTTGGAGGAAAGAAAAAAATGTGAATGCGGGCAAATGACAACCCTCGACATGAAGACGCAATTCTTTGTGAACACCTTTAACACCAGAAAGTCTTCCACTTGACAGTGACACTACAGCAGAGAGAGAAGGCGACCCCGGCCAGGGCTGGGGACGGGCACTCGGCCCTCTGGGTGCTGCCGCACACGGGCTGCTTTGTGGGGTCCGCCCCGTGGCCTGTCCCAGAACATGGGAGACACCTGCTTTCCCAGGGAAAACAAATGGTGGTGCATGTGGCCAGTGGTGAGACTGGGGCTTTCGGAGAGAATTTCGGAGACCGTGTAACTGCTGCCCTGAGCCTGGCGGTTTCCCGACACTCAGAGACACGACGAAACCGACGGGACGTGGACATCCGCGTGATTGGCCCCGCACGGTGAGGCGTGTCGGCATCTGGGAGGGTCTCAGGACCGGCGGCCAGTGGGCCCCCGATGACCAAACACGGCGTTGCAAAAGCAGGCGTGGGGGGTGGGGGAATCCCGAGTGTGGGACAGACCAGTGGGCGTCAATGTGACTGCGTTTCAGAGTCAGCTGGTTCTCAGGGGAACCAGGGCCAGACAGCGTTCGGCCGAGTCGCACAGGGGAAACCCACGGCGATCTGCAAGGGCTACTCTGGTGCTCCCTTGCCCCGTGGGCGTCCGTGAGAAGGGGTTTTGTTCATACATTAAAGGAAAACAACGTATTACAGCAGTTTGATTGCACAACATAAAAGGATCCAATTATCGTAAATCAGACATTAACGAGTTCTGAAAATATAAAACATGTTATTTTGGAAATAGTTATTCATAAATGTGATTTATGCTAATAAGTAATGGTTTCATCACTGCCCTTTAAAAAATTAACATTTTTAAAATTCACGGTGCTAACACTTCTACGTTAGACGGCGACAGATATAAACCGAGGTTCCTGGGGCCCTGAAAAGGCTCTGAGAGCGAAACGGGGCCCACGACCAAACAGGGCGCCCGACGGGCACAGCCTGTGGGCGGCTTGTGGCGGGAGGGGGGCGGTGGTGTGCTCTTGGTGGCCGGGGAGAGTCCAGGTTCTCCCGGAAGAAGAAACGCCCCAGCAGCCCCCATTGTGCAAACCAGGGCAGACAGCAGGAGCCACGCCTCCTCCCAGCACGCTCTGGTCCGTGCGCTCTCGCCTGTCTGTGCTCTCGCCTGTGCGCTCTTGCCTGTGCGCTCTGGTCTGTGTGCTCTCGCCTGTGTCTGTGCGCTCTGGTCTTGACTGTGAGCTCTCGTCCGTGCACTCGCCGCTTGCGGCCCGGCCTTGCCAAGTGAGGGCGCAGCACAGGCGCAGACATGCGAGCTGTTCGCCCACGTCTGGCCTTCCAGCCGAGTGTCGGCAGCACCGGGGCTGCTGCTGCGCTCAGCGCTCGGGGCCTGGTGACTCTGGACCCTCCTTTGAACGGCTCACGGCTTCTGAGCCGACACCTCTGTAGCTCATGATTCATCTAACGGGGGACAGACCACACCTGTTCCCTCCAGGAGGTGCTGGTTAAGACCGTGTGTGCGTTGGTTACTGTAAATGTAACGTTTTCTTCAAACTTTATCCAAGTTTTCTTCGCCTGTGATCACGTATTCCCAGTGAAACAGGTGAGGGGTAGGCACTTCCCACTCGGATGAATCTCGGATGAAACCAGTGGCGAGAGTCGGAGTCGGTCAGGGCCGCCCAGGGGAGTCCCGGGGAGCCCGGCCGGGCAGGTGGACACCTCTCCTGGAGGAGGGGGACTCACGACTCCGCCGTCGCCAGGAAG